TATATTCCACACTGTTATGAGATTATATATTTGTTATAAGATCACATGTCTCATATCTAGTTATTTAGAGAGTCATTTGGTGTGAGTTTTTAGTAAGTTATGGGATTTCCTGTTAAAACTTCCCATGAGATTTCAAAAGTATCTAATAACTTAAACTTTCAAGAAACTTTGCATCTTACAAGATGATAGTTGTTAAAATCTTGTTGGTGTTGCAGATTGTCTTTAACTGTAAGCTAGTTATCCTTTCTGCTGTGTGGGTAAGTATGGCTCGAATATTTTAAATAATGGGAGAAGCTCCCCCAAAGGCATGGTTTTTAGTTTAGTCCTTAATGCCATGCCTGGTTACCAAGCAGGGATAGTCAAGAAATTGTCCAGGGAACTACGTGTAAGCAATTTCTTGAGCTAGTAGAGAGACTGAGCAGTAAAACCAATCTAATTTCAGCCCCATTCAAAAGATTATTAAGATACCCTGCTTCTGTCACTGTAAAAATGTCACTTTTACTTGCAACTTAAACCGGAAGGAGTGACATTTTCCCATTTTTGCCTGGGATGCTATTTCTGGTTTGTGGGTTTTTTTCTGTGACAAAGATTTCTCTTTTTTTTTTTTCTTCTTGTAGGTTGAAAGAAGAAAGGGAGACCTGCTTGTCCAATGAAGATGCACTCTTAGTCTTCAGCTATTTAAGCTGAATGCATTGTGATTTCCAATAATTGAGACAGTGATTCTGAAAGCTGTCTACATTAATGAAAAGAACAATGTAGTCAGCTTAACTGAATCATCAGTGTTGCATATTGAATAGAACATGATAAACCAATCTTGATGGACTCATGCATGTTAGGAATATAGATATAAACATTTATTAAAGCATTGTTGTTTTTTTGAAAACAGTAGTTTTAAAAATGGAGAAATATGAAAATGTACCACCCCTCCCTAAAGAACCTGCAAGAGAAATGAATGTGGAGAATCATACTTGTCCCCCACCTCTGCCGCCTAACGAACAGCCTCCACCACCTCCCCTGCAAACGTCCAGTGACGCAGAGGTAATGGACGTTGGCTCTGGTGGTGATGGACAGTCAGATACCCCTGCTGGGGACACGCACAGTATCTGCAGAACACAGCTTCTCACAAAGGGATCTGCCTGCTACAAAAGTCGTCTTATAATAGATCCTAACAATAGTGACCAAAGCCCAAGAACTGCTCGTCATGCACCTTCAGTTCGCAAGTTCACCCCAGATCTTAAGTTACTTAAAGATGTAAAGATAAGTGTTAGCTTTACAGAAAGCTGCAAAAGTAAAGATAGGAAAGTTCTGTACACTGGAGTGGAGCAGGATTATAAGGCAGATACAGATTTTGGTATTAATAATGTAAACGGGGATTTGCATGTTTGTCCTTTTGGTGGTAGTAATGGTAAAGCTGTAGGAGTAGGGGGTGAAAATGATGACAAGAAGGATGATGAAAATGATATTGATCAGGAAAAGAGAGTGGAATATGCTGTTCTGGATGAGCTAGAAGACTTTACCGACAATTTGATGGAAATAGATGAAGAAGGAGGAGGGTTCACATCTAAAGCAATCGTTCAAAGAGATAAAGTGGATGAAGAAACCTTGAATTACTCATATGAGGTAAGTAAATCCCCAGGTTTTAGGTGGGCAAGAGGTTTCCAAGTGCTAGAAAAAAATATGTAGAGATGTTCACTGAAACAGTTCTACAAATGTGCAGTACTTGAGTAAAGAAATGCAGAATTTTGAGACAGAACTTTGGCTGAAAACACTTGTAAATTATGTTGGTCAAACTTCTGAGTTGTGTGTCAGCTTCTATAGTCTGGTTCAAACATAACATTTAAAAGATTTCTTACACAATTGCAGCTCATCTTATAATGAAAAATATCAGTTCTCACTTATGAAAACTTATTTTCTTATTTTTCAGTCTTTTTACTGGGATCATTGGAAATTTCTAGTTTCTGTATGGAAGTACATAGAGAAAATGTCTACTTTTTCTTTGCAAGGGGAAAGGGAGGTTAGTAGCCCCAGAAGGATGGTGTCTCATGAATTCTCTTTCAGGATGACTTTGATAATGATGTGGATGCTCTGCTGGAAGAGGGTCTTCGAGCACCTAAAACGAGGAGACTAGAAAATGAGAAATATGGTGGTGAAAGTGATCACCAGTCTGATGGAGAAACAAGTGTGCAGCCAATGATCACCAAAATTAAAACTGTACTTAAAAGTAAGTTAAAGTTCACTAAATATGGGGGGGGTTTGCATGGCTTATATCTATAGGACAAAAGTATATCAGCAAGCAAAGTTTAGAAAAGCAATTCTTGTCAAATAGTTAATGTTACAGAATTGTATTGTTTTAAGGCTTCTTACTAGGATATGTTTTTTTTCATCCCCCTCAACAGTGAAGTTGATTTTTTTTTTTTTGGTAGTGCTCTTGATCTTCATATGTTGTATGTAACGAGAGTCTATTTTAGTGTGTGGATTTGTGAAAGATTATGAAGAACACTAACTCGGTGGTGCAGCTGTGAATGAGGATGATCTTATCTTTTGCCTTCAGTACTGCAAAACTGCTGCAGACTGTTTGTGGTCATTGTGAACTTCTTCCTACTTTAGCTGTATAACTTCTGTTGTTGAAAATGCTGTATGTGAAGTCTTTATGCATGCATCCTAGGAAAAGAAATCATAAAGAAAGACACTTACATTATGAAACTTGATAAAATAAGTGTTTCAAACCTACTAATATGAAAATGCTGTATGTGAAGTCTTTATGCATGCATCCTAGGAAAAGAAATCATAAAGAAAGTAAGTCACTTATTTTATCAAGTTTCATAATGTAAGTGTTTCAAACCTACTAATAAAGAAGAACTGAGAATGTGAACCAATCCAGAAGAACATAACTGAAAATAGTCTGAATTAAAATTTGAATGTGCTCTAGGGGAGTATCTTACAGCTTCACTATATTCCAGAATAAACCAGAGAAAATTCATTGGTGAAATGTACAAATAAGTCTGAATAAAAATTAGTGCTACTATTGCTTTTCAGTTGAAAACGTAACGGAATCTAATTTTGCAGGACTTAATGTGGATTAGAAGCATATTTATTTTATTAAAGCAAACCAAAATCTTTCTACAGAACTCCTTTAGTCTTGTTTCAGAGTCATTTTATCCTTTGAGACAGAAAAAGCAATAAAAATAAAAATGTTAGTTCTTTTTCTGTTCTTCTAAGCTGTCTATCCAAGTTGAAAGTGAGTCTTTGCTTTAAAGGTCGTGGCCGCCCTCCTACAGAACCTTTGCCAGATGGATGGATCATGACATTCCATAACTCAGGCATTCCTGTTTATCTGCACAGAGAATCTAGAGTTGTTACCTGGTCTAGACCTTACTTCTTGGGAACAGGAAGCATAAGGGTGAGAGCTGTCAGTTACTTAAATACTTACTGAGATTTAAGAATCAGATATATTCCTCAACAGTTCAATATTTTTCTACTTTATTTGGCTTCTTTCCAGCCTTAGATTTAAGGTACTTGCAAAATAACTCCTCTGTTCCTGAAAACATGGTATGATTTTTCTTATGGTGTTTTAGTTTTCCATTTTTCCGATGAGTTTGGGTGGTTAAAGTGAATGAGATGGTCTTGTTTGGTGCCTTCATTGTTCTAGCATGTGGCTAAAAAAGTTGGTGTTATTCCACCATGAAATGTATTTAGATCTCTTATTTGCAACTGTAAACTAGCCTGAGCTGTGGCTTATGGTCCACATGTACGAAGTAAGCACGTGATGTTCCTGAATCCAAGGAATTTGTAGAAATTGCATTTATTAAACCCCAAGAGAGCTCAGTGGATTCTATGATAGCATGTAGTATTTGCCTGTAATTGAACAAGATATAATTTGGATCTAAACCAGCAGACACGCTTGAAGGTTAGTGTCAGTGTTAGATGGTGCCAAGATACCGTAGCAGTGGGTGTACTCAGATCTTGAGTAGAATAAGCCAAAGAGACTCTGGACCCTCAACTAAATAAAAATAACTTCCATCTTGTTCACATCTTTTGGTTTTGAGTTTTGTTTTTGGTGACCTTAAGGTACTGAAACCTTCTGTATTATTTTATATTTGCAGAAACATGATCCTCCCCTCAGTAGCATTCCCTGCTTGCATTACAAAAAAATGAAGGAAAATGAGGAAAGGGAACAAAACAATGACATAACCCCAAATGGGGAAGTGTCACCTGTAAAGCATCTAGATAAATCTTCCGAGCTGGATTGCCAAACAGAGGAACCGGACTCTACTGCTGCTGATTCTGGGCCTTTAGATGACAAAGACCCCTCAGGGGGAGATGCAGCACAAGGAGCCTTAGGACAAGTTAAGGCCAAAGTTGAAGTATGTAAAGATGAATCTGTAGGTATGTATGGAAAGCTGTGTCTTTTCTTGGCTACAGTTGGGATAACAGCCTTTGGGATAAATATGCTTTATTCCAGACTTGACAACTGAATAATATCTTCCCAAGATCAAAAGCCTGATGCTTCCTGCAGTTTTTCATATGCAGAGATCTGAAGAAGTAGATCCAGTTTCAGAAAGGTGTTTTGATTTTTTTAACAGGAAGAGAAACATACAGTGGAGATTTTTGCTGAAGACTTGAGAGTGCACATGTGAAGGTTTTACACACAAAAATGTGAAAATTTTGGAAGTTTAGTCCCATAGACTTTATCTCAGTTTAAGAATCAATTAAGTCAATGTGTACATATAAATTGCAGTTGTCAAGTATGTTTGTGTGACTTCTTGAAATAGGCTTTTCTATGCAGTCTCTGGCTGAATTGTGTCTGTTTCAGTATGATCTCTACAAGATAAATGGTGCAGTAAAACTAGATTTGTTTATTTGCACAAGTCTGGCAGAATAAGTTATGCAAATATAATTGCACTCATGCAGAGGGGTATGGGGCTTCATTATTTTATTTGTGCAGGTCTGATAGCTATTACATAAAGCTTAAATATGTCATACCAAAATCACCACCAAACTTAGAGGAACTTAAAAAGCTCATGTGTTGCTTACCACAACTGGGGACCTGAGAGTGTCACCCACGTAAATTTCTGCTGCTCAGAATACTGGTACAGGTTGTAGGCTACTGCTTACTTTTGTAGAGTTTAAACATAAAACTTGTCATTGTCATTACCTATGTTCCTGTTCAGTCTGATTTGTAGAGTTTAAACATAAAACTTGTCATTACCTATGTCCTGTTCAGTCTGGAAACCATGCCAAAAGACTTTTTAAAAAATCATTAATATTTAGCAGCAAAACTAAAACTAGTAAGCGCTTATTTTCTCCGTGAAGTTCACCTGTCTATCTCTGTCTTTAAATAGGATCTGTTCTGTACTACTGAAAAAAATACTGAGTGATCAAGTATAAGTGTGACTTGCATTTGGAATTTCTTGTGGAAGGAAACAATGCCAGCAGCTTGCTTTTGCTTGTTTACGTCTTGGGATACTACTCCCTATTTTTGCTGATTATATCTGCAGAAATATCCTATAAAGGGAGAAGCAGCTGTACTTCAAGGGGAGGGGCAGTCTTTTAGTACTCTGTATGTGAAAATGAATGTGTTAAATTCTGTTTAGAGGCTAGCAGGTACTCATGGAGCATCCTTAGATAGCGTTTCATGGGATGCTGTTTAATGACTAGGCAGCAATAGTCAGTTTTGGCTTCGGGAAACTATGGCTTATGGCATAACCCCTGTTACTCCCTGTATACCTTGCTTTAATGAATGAAATGTCAATAGGTGATTAAGTAGAACAATTACTATTGGTTTGTTACAAATTGTGTTGGGTATTGTGCTGGTTAGGGCTTAGTAAAATCTTCAAGTGACAGAATAAAATGTTCTTTTTTTGGTTTTGTTTTCCAGTTTGCAGGAACGGTTAGGGCTTAGTAAAATCTTCAAGTGACAGAATAAAATGTTCTTTTGGTTTTGTTTTCCAGTTTGCATGAATGTTTTGCATTTGACCCAGTAACAGAAAACTTGTAATTAGTTCTGTTAGTATAAAATAACATCTTAACCTTGAGTATGTGAAATAAAGCCACTAATTTTGGTCCTAGTCTTAAAAAAATAATTATGTTTAAAACAGTGGAAATAATGAACTTAATGCTTGCTTAATGGTAGAGAGAGTAACTTGCTTGTGTTTCTTAGATCTGGAAGATTTTAGATGCTATCTTGAAAAGCGTTTTGATTTTGAACAAGTTACCGTAAAGAAATTCAGAACCTGGGCTGAGAGACGGCAGTTCAATCGTGAGATGAAGCGGAAGCAGGCAGAGTCGGAGCGGCCAATTCTGCCTGCCAATCAGAAACTCATTACCTTGTCAGTGCAAGATGCACCTACAAAGAAAGGTTAGTTTGCCTACCTGGAGTTCAAATATTCTGTATCACAGACTAATTGCAGTTCTAAGCTTGATTGAAAAAAGAAAAAAACTAATAAGTCCGAAGGTTAGTTTGCCTACCTGGAGTTCAAATAGTCTGTGTCACAGACTAATTGCAGTTCTAACTCTCTTCTTGTACTAGAATTCTGTGTTTGTGGATCCATCATAGTACATAGAAAGGAAAAATACTGTCAATACCCTTCCTGTTAAAAAGAATAATCCCTAAATGAAACGATTTTTTTGAAGGTTGCAGTCCTGGTAACTTGTTACTATCTTCAGCTACTTGTTACTGTTGGTTGTTACTGAAAACCCTCCTGCCTCATCACTCAGTGTTACTGCCTTCTCAGTTCTATGCCAGTTCTAATTGGCCCTAAATCTTCAGCTACTTGTTACTGTTGGTTGTTACTAAAAACCCTCCTGCCTCATCCCTCAGTGCTACTGCCTTCTCAGTTCTGTGCCAGTTCTAATTGGCCCTAAAGTAGGGACAGATGCCAGATTGATCTAAATTAGAACCTACAATTAAGAATTTTTTGAAGGTTGCAGTCCTGGTAACTTGTTACTATCTTCAGCTACTTGTTACTGTTGGTTGTTACTGAAAACCCTCCTGCCTCATCACTCAGTGTTACTGCCTTCTCAGTTCTATGCCAGTTCTAATTGGCCCTAAATTAGGGACAGATGCCAGATTGATCTAAATTAAAACCTACAATTAGAATATTAAAGCAGTTTGACAGAAGCAGTTAAAGAACTGTGTGTACAGTGTGAGGAGCGGTTATCATGTCTAATGAGAAGCTGGGCAAATTAGCTCTTACCTGTATTGGCTGTGTAGCCAGAGTATTATGTTTAACTGCACTTTGGTATTTAAAATGTCCATAGGCCTGTGATTTGGGGTTTGTTCTTGTTTTGTACACTGCCATGTTTCTGGGTTTCTTCCCTTTAGCAGAATTAAAGCTTATGAGCTGCACATCGACCATTCCCCATTACAGGGAGGTGCAGCTGAGTTTTTAGGTAATAGGCTTTATCTTAAATTCCAGGTTTAGAGCCACAGTGAAACAACCTAACCTGAGTTCAGAATTACCCATGTCTGATTCAATGCCATTGTATTTAACTTGAGCAGGCCCTTATCCCTTATAGCTTGTCATTTATGTATTTGTAGTAGAAATTGTCTGTTGAAGACTGGAACTGCTCAGCTGTCTTCCCCTCCCACTCTCTTTTTTTGTAGAATTTGTCATTAATCCCAATGGGAAATCTGAAGTTTGCATACTGCATGAATATATGCAACGAGTCCTAAAGGTTCGCCCTGTTTACAATTTCTTTGAATGTGGTAAGTCTGTTAAGTCTTTTCTTAATCAACCACATGTTCTTTTGAAGGCCTTATCACAGGTTTGGATATTTAAAAAAAAAAGAGGACAGTTTTCCAAGGGGATGTTGTGAAAGTCTTTTGTGAGTCATATTCTAGGTAGGAAGTGTTTTCTTTATCTTAAATGTGGCTCTTGAGGATAAGAGCAGTCTTGGATTTAAAATAACAGTATGGCTTTTCACTTGGAAAACTGTGCCTAAGTGAAAATGGATGTAACTCATTTGCATCTAAATGGACACATCCATGAAATACAGGCAATTACAGTTTGTGGATTTTGTACAATTAATATTTGCTAATTTTTTGTCACTGTTGTCTAGAAAATCCAATTATAAGGCATGCATTGTTTCACTGAATCATCAGAATCCTGAAAAAAAAAAGTTAAATGCTAAACCCAAATAGTTTCTGAAGAGAAACTTGTAGGCCTTCAATTATGAAGCTGAAGAATTTGACAGATTTCTGCAGACGCATATGTACCCTCTCTAAAGCTGCAGTAATTTGTGATATTCTTGTGGTTTTATTCTGTTCTGGTTTTCTTCCAATTGGGAAAAAAAAATATATCTTAGTGTAGCTAATGCATCTTAGTTTAGTGTGGAATCTATAATTATTCAGAGTTATGGTATTGCTATATATGGATTATATAATGTAACTGAATTTTCATTATCAGAATGTGTAGCTCTTGTATTTATGCTGTGTGAGTGATGCAAAAACTTTGGAATTAACATTTGAATTCTGGCAGATTACAAATGATCTCTTAAAATGTAAAATGTTCTTCATTTGGAAGCATGAAGTACGTGGCGGTAAGTCTTTGTTTGTGGAAGACTCTGTTAGTTTCTGGTATCAATTCAATAATCAATTCTTCAGTCTTCCTGAAGAATAAACAATTTCCATCCTCTTGAAGTTGAAATGAAACATAAAACAAATCTTGATGACGGTGGTGTTTCATGTTCATGACGAGTATTTTACATTGAGAGTTCTGAAAAGCTTTCTTTTTCTCCTCCATTTCCAGAGAACCCAAGTGAACCTTTTGGAGCCTCGGTGATAATTGATGGAGTAACATATGGGGCAGGAACTGCCAGCAGCAAAAAACTTGCCAAGAATAAAGCTGGTAACATTTGGGTTTTTTCTTAATACCAACTGCTGAATTGTTTCTGTTGTCACTTCTGATGAAGATGACATATTTGCTATAATAAATAGGAATTGTTTTGTTAATAGTCAAAAAAGGTACATTCTTGGCTTTTTGGTGAAAGCAATAAATACTGTTGCAGAGGCTTTTCTAACGACCCTAAATTCAACAATGTACTGGGACAGAAAACCATGAAGAAATTTCAGATACCAGATTACATGTAAGCTATTGATGTATACTCAGTACCCATAAAGTCTGTCTTTAATGATCAGACCAGTAAGAACATGTTGGGGGGTTTATATTCATACTGTCACCTGCTGTATAAACACCTGGTGTGCAGATAACCCCACCCCTCAAGATTTTTGTTTGGTTTGGTTTTCTTTCTGATGATAAAACAATTGCACTAAACTGATTATTGATTTCCAACTACTTGTCTTCATTAATTAGTTCTAATTGTGTAAGTCTGATAAATATGCAAATAGTTAAGATCTAGATGAGAATCTGTCTGGCACATTAGAACTTCTTATTGAGCTCCAGATTTAAATGTCTTTAGCACAAGGATCAAGAAAAAACAACTTCTCTGCATGTAAAAATGTATAATGTACTTGTGGTACTTTCTGCACTTGTGAAATATGTCAGCGCAGCTGTGCCACCAAAAGCCAGCCCACAATTCTTTGTGCATGGAAAAAAGGTATTTTTCTGTGACAGTTTAAGCAATACTGGCTGTGCCTTTTGGACAGTCCTAGGGTTCTGAGTGCCCTAGTGATACGATACTAGGGCTTATCTTGTAACAACTGTTTAATTTTAGGTCCTAAGGTCTCTACGTCACTGTTAAAATGACACTTGATTATCTTTTTTCTTTCATAGATATTTGCAAAAAGCAGTTTCTTCTTAGTTATTTAGTTGTGAGACTTTCATTATCAACTTGAACAAGTAGAGTTTTTTTTCCTGTAAAGTGCAAGTGAATATACTTCTTAAAGAAGATGCATGTCTTATTTGTAGAGGTGCTCTCTAATATGAGTGGATGTTTCTAGGAGAGATGTGAGGCTTAAGGGGTGCTTTGTTTGGCTGGTTTTACAGTCACTGTTTAAAATAAACATAATCAAGGTGTTTAATCATTTTCTGCAGCTCGTGCTACACTGGAAATTCTTATTCCCGACTTTGTTAAACAGACCTCTGAGGAGAAGCCCAAAGACAGTGAAGAACTTGAGGTACTGAACACTTGCTGGCTGTCGTTGTTGGGGTCTGTTTCTAAAACCATGACACCTTCGGTTTCAGAAATACCAATGAAAATGATGTTGGTAAATGCCTCCATTATGGATTTTAAAATAAGTATTAAGCAGAGTAACAGAATTTTTTTGATGTTGCAAAGGAGAAATGAGGGTTAAGAACAGCATTAAGGTCTTACTTGCACAAAAGCCCAATAACCCTTTTCGCTTCCTTTGTAGTATTTCAACCATATCAGTATTGAGGACTCACGGGTATATGAACTCACCAGTAAAGCTGGACTCTTGTCTCCATATCAGATTCTCCACGAGTGCCTTAAAAGGTAAGGCTGTGGCATAAGGAGCAAATGGTGCTGTGTCCAGGTGTGTGGGTCGGGGACATGGTTTGTTTGGTGACTGGTGCCCACGGTGTTTGTCACTGACCTGGACCCCGTGGGCTGGCCACGCTCCTGTGCTCACTCTGGCTGTAGGAGATGGACTGAACTGGTTCATGCTGTATCTTCCTTTAATTCATATTTGCTGTTTGCCTCCTGTATTCTGAGATTAGGATTTAGTTGTGGATGTAGAAATATATTTGTTTCTCCTTGATACAGGCTTGCTTCCCGTTAAGTCAAGTTACTGATCTAAAAAAAAGAAATCTTTATAATTAAGGTCTTTAAAATGTATTACGAATGTATCTAATTCCATTGCAATGACTGTCAAAGATAATTGCAACGACTTCAGTTGTCTGTAATTTTACTTATTATATGATATTGATTTTCTTTGTGCTTAAGAAACCATGGAATGGGTGATACATCCATAAAGTTTGAAGTGATTCCTGGTAAAAATCAGAAGAGCGAATACGTCATGACTTGTGGGAAGCACACGGTGCGAGGCTGGTGTAAGTACAGGGCTTGGTGTGGCCAATGATGGTGTCTTCCTCTTCTCCTGCTCTCCTTTGTCCATCCTGTAGGTGCTTGTTAGATGCTTACTCTGCTCTTCTCTGGTATCTCTGTTTTGTATAATGCAACTAAATATTGGTGTTCATCTCCTTACCTAATGTGCCAGTGTTGACACCTTTTCATGATTATTTCTACAGGCAAAAATAAGAGAGTGGGGAAACAATTAGCTTCTCAGAAAATCCTGCAGCTACTGCATCCACATGTGAAAAACTGGGGCTCTCTTTTGCGTATGTATGGTAGAGAGAGTAGCAAGATGGTTAAACAGGTGAACATTATTTTGTTTGATTGTAACTTACCTTGTGATTGTATTTCTGCTTTGTATTTTTCTGGGTTGTGGGGTTTTTTTAAATGTAGTTACAAGAAAGCATTAATAGTATCTATTTTTGGTGTAATAACGGTGTTCTCTGTCCTGGTAAAGTCAGTGTGTGCTTCATGGGCAATGCCCAGTTCTTCTGAGCTGATCCTCATACCTTTGCTACTGCCGGGCCGTAAGATGAGTGCTGTCATTGACAGTCATTCATTTAATATTCAACTCATGTAAATACATGTTATTGCTTAAGGAATTACGACTATTGCCGATTAAACTTCTGCTCCTTGTATTTTAATTTATTTTTTTATCAAAACCTCATATCTTTTTCCTTGTGGTTCTGTCAAACAGGAAACCTCCGATAAAAGTGTGATAGAGCTTCAGCAGTATGCCAAAAAGAACAAGCCAAATCTGCACATCCTGAACAAGTTACAGGAAGAAATGAAAAAACTGGCACAAGAAAGAGTGAGTACATGCTCTTTTGTATTTGTAAACAGGAAGAATGCCACGGTCAGGCTTGCTGATTACTAAAATTGCAAACTTTATATTGAGGGGGTGAGGGGGCTACCTTTAGAGAGATTTTCATCCTTATTTAATTTTATTCACTTCAGTAAATTTATTTCTACCCTTGGAACGAGGGTAGCCTTTCACAAAGGTTGACGCATCAATTTGACTGAAATTGGTCAAAATTTTTGAAATTTGTGTTGTTGTTCTAGTCTCTCTATGACCACGTGGTGGGGTTTGTTTCATGTTCTTTAGGAGGAAACCCGAAAGAAGCCCAAGATGACCATAGTGGAGTCGGCTCAGCCCGGCAGCGAGCCTCTGTGCACCGTCGACGTGTAACGAGAGAACTCACGAGTGGGGAGCAATAACACAAATGGAGGAACTAGATTTTCAACAATTATTTAAAAATTGTTTGCTGCAGAATGCAAGATAACTTTTAAAATCCAAGCTGCTTCAGTTATGCATTGTTCTTTTTGCATCATCAGGGCAATATTACTTTTTCCTACTTTTTTCTTTTCTTTTTTTTTGTTTTTAATACCTCTGAGATATGTACGTTTAAAGGATTGATCATAAAGATCTCTACTTGGGCAAATGCACAGAGGACAGGCATGTTCACACAGGATCAACTCAAACAAGCACTTTTTCCTGGAAAGCCATCCATGGTGTCCCAAATGGATGCGTTTTAAGGATGAAATTCAGAATATCTATGTACAGGTTGAAGCTGATATTATATATATATACACATTCATATATATGTATATGTAAAAGAAATATATGTACATCTTCTTGTATGAACATGCCTAAAACTATTTTTGTGAAAAGTTTTGTTGCATTTCAGCACATAATAATATGCACTGATAAGACACTTTGGTGACAAATACATGAAAGTGATGAGCAACGTTCCTAATGCCATAGGATTAGGCCAGTAACGCTGTTTCTTTTGTTCTGGTTTGTTTTTTGTCTCCTGCCAGGTCCGTGATTCCAGATCACAGGATGCAGAGGTTTCTTTGATTACTTGAAAAGAACAAGTGTACCTGGTAGTGTTAAGAGCAACAGGCTGGATATGCAAAATCATTGGGCTTTATTTTAATTGAAACGAGCCTGTGTTAGTTTACAGATCAGTAGAAAGGGGGGGGAAATATGGCCCTATTTATTTGATTAAAACGAAAACTGTAGCTTGAAAGGCTGTTTTCAAAGCTTGGAGCCAAAACGCAGCTGATGATGGTTGATGGTCTCTGAAAATATTCTGCCAATGAGGTGATGAAAGACCTTCCACTCCCTTCTCCCAGCAATAAAACAATTTCTCACTTGTTTGGAGTCAGACTACATCTGACTTGATTAATTAAGTCTTAATTAACTTGCATCACAAATGCAAAGACTTTTTTAAAAAAAAACCAAACAAAACCAACACAACCCTGAGAAATCTGAAATAACTGCAGCAATTTAGGTTTTTTTAAGAAGTTTTTGGTTTTACTTTTGTTTTAATGACATTTTTAGCTTTTAAAGAAAAAGTGTAAGTTCTGCGATGAAAACTAGAATGTAGAGTTGGAATATGACATAGTGTAATGAGTAGAATGAGACCATAACAGGATATACTGATGAATAAGCAAATGGCAAATATGCAACTATTATAAAACAACCCTTGGAAGAGGCAGGGCTCCCGGCGGCTCCAGGGAAGGCTGGGGCTGAGGTGGGAGCACTGGTCCCTGGGTCTGGCTCCTCCTGGGTGACTGGTCAGGCTCCAGGGGTCGTTTACTGGGGGTTCTTTGGGGGCCTTTTTGGTTGTGTGTTGTGTTTTTTGTTGTTTTTTTCTACCATGTTACACATAGTGCTGCAGTATATTGAATTTAGTGCCTACTGGATTTTAACAATATTGGCATCAGTATTGTAAGACCTCCTTTTAATATCGCCCATTGTTTTGGAAATATTTGAACTAATGTTCTCTCGTATGATGCATATAATGTTAGAGGTTAAACAGGAGGAGCCTTGGAGTCTCACCTGTTTCTGTGTTGGAGTGATACGCTCAGAGGTCTCCGCAAATATGAATTCACCCATTTTTTTTTTATTATTATATTTAGCTTTTCAGTTCCATGAGTTGTAATCCTGTAGTAACAGGATACGGGTAGTTGGAAGACTCTACATAAACTATTATTTAAAGAAGTGGCCTATCTTAAAACAAAAAATAAGAAAAACAAAAAAAAAAAACCACTGCCTCTGCTTTTTTTTGTATAGCTTTAATAAATCTCCATCTTTTGAAGGGTATATACAACCGGTGCAGTAGTGACAAGCAGTGAATGCTGCTTGTCTCTCTTCTTGTTGGTTTTTTTCTTGTGTTTTCTTCTCATAAGGACAGGGCTTGTATCTCCTTTGCCTGAACGCGTTCCTCTCCCCGGTAGGCTTGACTTCAGCTCACGTGTTTTCAGCAGAAAGATCCGTACTTGGACGGCACTTGTAAAAGACAAATCACCCCTGTAGATCTCTTTATTTTTCTGAAATCAGAATGTCAAGGTGTTTGCAGGTCACCTGCAGGATACCCACAGATGCCTCGCTTCCAAATTGGTTTCCCTTCTTTTTAAGAGATTGCTGTTGTTATACCTCAGTCTGCCACCATCAGAATCACAAGGTGACCGTTGCCCTTAATTAAAACACCCAGAGATTTCATTGTGAACCAAAGCCTAGAACGTCTATTATGCATTCTAAACAAAAAGAAACACAAAAAAAAAGATGGTATTAGACCTTGCTGCAGCCTTTATCTGGAGAGATGTCCAGAAAATAGCGCAATAACTGCTGGAACAAACAACTTAACTGCTGTTTCTGTCATTGTGAAGTATTCTTGTGTTTTAATGTTTACTATTGTTTGGAGTGTAACAGTCTCGCATTTGCACATGAGCACGAGCTGCTGTGATAGAGGATAGATCATTGCATTAACTTCAGCTTCTGCATGAACACTTACGGTGTGGTTCAAGGTGTATCCTAAACTTGTCGTGTAACTCTTGTGTGTTTCCTAGGTAATCGGCTGTAAAGGTTTAGATCTTGATTGTATGAATGCATAAAACAACTGCTGCTTTTGTCACTGGTATTTGTTATTTATCCCTTCTGTATCCAGAGGAGGATGGGTATTTTTATGGGGATGGAGTGTATTTTTCAGAACTGTTCCATCCTTTGGGAATTAGACAGTTTTTGCTTTGCATATTATGTGCTTCTCGACAAAAGTGTGGTATATTGACTTTAAGGATTAAATTTGTGTGCATTCAAATCTTTATGGTACTGATGGAAAACTTACTGTGACTTCCAGTGACTAGTCAGATGCTACCTATTTAAACACCAGTCATCCAGCTTTTTCTTACCTATTTATTAAATGAAACTGATGAAGTAGTTGGGTACTCAGAAGTTTGGAAAGACTCTTATGCATAAACTTAACTGTCGTATGTAAAACTTCCACTTTCCTGTGACGCTGTTGGGCTTTATACAAATACATCTGTAACATCCGAGTATTTAAATGCATCATGATTTTATCTTATTAATTCTCTAGACTGTACTTTGGTTCTGGAGTAACATCCAGGAAGTGACAGCCTCCTGGCTTTGCATGGGGAGAGCTGTGAGGTGCCAGAGCCACGCTGTTGGTAACCCAGAGGAGCAGTGACAGTATTGTGACGTGTGAGACGGTGAGCAGGCGGAACAGAACCCATTCCTGTTGCCCAAGTAGATGAGGGTGGTCGCTGTAGGAGCTGCCTTGGGTGCAGTTGCTTGATGCCAGTGCTGAATTGGTACAACTATAAAGCCTCATTTTCACTGAGCCTCTGCTTGCTTTTTTTTCTGCACAATCATATAATCCTGTGTGTTTGGTCTTTGAGTACTACATGTGTATTTTTCAGACAATTAGTTTTGAGCAATAAAGTTTGATATTATAAAATGCTCCAGTGTGATCAGTATTCTAATAGTTTAAGCGTACTTAGAAAAAGGAACTTTATTCCTTGATTCCTCTAGGTATTTTTAAATAGAAATGAAATCAGTACAGGCTCATCGGATATGGAAGCACTTGTTTCATCACCTTTTTTGGTAAGGAATTGAATGTTTGCATGGAGTGAAATTGAAACTTTTTCTTGAATTGGAATTTGTATTTTTACTTAACTGATGTCACAGTTGGAAGTGACACAACCCAAAGGTGCTGGGTTTGGTGCCTGTTGAAAAGAAAGGGGAACTGCTGTGATAAGTATTTTTTGGTTTTGTTGGTTTTTTTTAAGTCCCTATTAAATGTACGTTGCTCAGTGACTTCATGAGATTTAGAAGATTTAAAATGACTATTCCTCCTAACAGTCAGCATTAATGCCTGTTGTGTAGTGCAGATCATACTACCTTAAACTAATGCTGGGCATCCGTGTGGAAGTATGGATGAATCCTGACTGGAGAGCGAGTGGTGTGAGGGCAGGAGGCTCAGCCAGGTGTGTCTTTGCAGGCAGTGCACATGCTGGAGGCAGGGCCTGAGGTGCTGGGCCTTGTTGTCAAGTTGTTGTTGCTGTTGTCTTGCGGTAAATACAGCTGCCTCTTCCTCTGCTGGACTGGGCAGGGCTGGGAAGACACCTGGGATAAGAGGCTTTGGTCTAGGGCAGAGGTTTGGTAGAAAGAAACTGTGTCCACAAGTTTACTTCTGTGGTGACCTCAGACACTGAGTAAGCTGAGCTCACGCTCCTGTTGCTTTCTCATCCTTCAGTAACCACTGAATTAGGCACCGCTCTTCCATCACTATTTTCCAGGAGGCTGAGGTTAAGCCTTTGTAGTCACTGCAACATCAAAACCCCTCAGTTGGGCTACAGGACTCTAGAGCTCTATCTGAAGAGTTGAGCAACGCTGTACTGAAAGCTGTGTTTCAAATGTTTAAAGAACACAACCTCCGCATGTATGACTTCATCACCTAAATTTCCCCGAGGGCAAGAGGAGAAAAAGCAGGATTCGGCCTAATACTACATAATGAAATTTAACTGGAATGATGAAATAACTCGGAAGCCTGGCAGCTGCTCTGTTGTACAGAGATTTATTACCAGGATGTTACAGAAACAGCATTACTGAAGAAGTTAACAAGCAAAAGTAGGTTCTGGAGAACATCTCTCAGGAGTTAAGTCAATTCCTGCTCTTCAGACGGGGGCTCTAGATGCACAGAAGGGGCCTGGCTCCCGTCACCGTGAGGCAGGTCGGTGCCATCCACGTCAGGCCCTGCTGCTGGGACCTGAGCAGCATCAGGTGTCGCTTCAGCCGAGCTCCCGTTGGAGTAGTCGACCCTCTCGAAGAAGATGAGCAGCTCGCAGTGCCTGGTCTGAGGGAAGAGGTCCACGGCCAGCGCTTTGGTGGGGCGGAAGGCGGCTCCTTTGACTCTGTTGGAAGGGGCCCGGCAAAGGCTTGATGGGACAGGGGAGGAAGAAGGGCATCAACACTTGAGTACACCGCTCATCGCTGCTACTCTGCTACAGAAGACGTCTCTTCCCCAAAACTCAGCTCCACGATAGTTATTCACCACCCCTAGTACTTCCATTACTACTTGGACAGCGGGCAATACAGCTCCAAGCTTGCTGTGTGGCAGCTGTCAGCTATTTCTGGTGAAATACAGCTTAAAGAATAACAATCCAAGGATGGTCCCCCTTCCCAAGAAGGGCGTATTTACTCAGATAACGCAAGAAATACTCACTCCACAAAGTTATTCATGGCAGCTCTGGGATTGCAGGATACATAGATAAGCTTCTTCAGATGTTCAGCTCTTCTAATGGCAAGGATTACCTTGGAATCTGGGTGATGAGAACCAAGACAGCTGTTCACTAGCTCTGGGCACATCAACAGCCTCGCAGAAACGTGCCAGGCTACACCTCAGTGTGAACCAAACCACTGCAGTACCCTCCTGCTGCCACCTACACCCAAAGTCTCCCGCTTAATTTATCCCCATGGTGCTTCCTTAGGTTCCCCACCAACCACCAGTTGGGAGAACAGACTCAAAACTTAAGAGAAGGGAAACTTACGCAGTCCTGCTCGTGGTGGATCTACAATAGTAATGGGGTTCTGAGCAGCTAATATGTTAATTAGGGAAGGAACAATATCTTCAGCCTTCCCACAATGAAATTCGATATTACTCAGTTCTATAAAAAAGTGAAAAGATGTTATCAGAGAACTTAGCAAGTCAAAGCATCTTTCAGTGCATTCAAATTAGATATTTAGTTCTTATGTTTTAAAAAATACAAATTGTTTCATCTACCCTGAAATCAGTGTCATTTAAACAATCACTGGTACCTCAGATCTTTTAAACAACAGTAACTTGAGCATCTTCCATTATCTGAACCAAAGCAAAACCTCACCAAAAAAATAGCTACTGTTCATGTTTTATTTCTGAGGGTAAGTGTAGCCTCATCTAACTTTCACACCAAAATGTTTCATTTTTTGGAGAAAAAAAAAAAAAGCTGGCTGTTAGTCAACGGGAAAATTGATCTCTGAGATTAACGTGGTATTTGTTTTCAAGAGAGACTAAATGTTTCAAATGGACAAGATTACTATCAACAACATGTAATTCCAAGCTGCTTAGATAATGTAGAGAGGAACTGGCTACACAACTACACCACCTCTTAACAACCCACCACCTCAGCATTTCAGCTTAACTAACCATTCATCTGGGCGTTTGCTTTGGCATCCTGCACAGCTTCTTGGCAGAGTTCAATTCCAATCACCTTCTTTACTTTCTATAGAATCAGAGGAAAAAGATCCGTCTGTGGTATGTAAATTTAACCATTATTCACAGCATCAGCAATGAACTACTAGACATGAACACTGAATTGTACCTGCTCAGAGAATTACTGCCTTGCAGCCAGAAAGAGAGCTGAGAAGGGACCTGTGCAAATAAAGGGGGACTTCTTAGACTGAAATTGTGGGATGAACACTATTTATCCCCACCTGTGTGTGACAAGACTCCACTTCGCTGGCGTCTGTCTCTTTTTGTGGGGCCAGACTTTCTTATACGGTCTAGCAAGCTCCACTCTAAAAATTATATAAGAAATGTTGGCTATTCATCAGTTAAATGGAGAGATTCTAGTGAATTTTGGCTATCCTACAGAACTACTTCCTCTTTTGACTGAGTTAGTTTCAAAATAGTTTAGGCTGCTTGACCCAAGGGTAAGCTTTCATAACAATTAGGTAAAACAGCTGCAAGCAGTTTAATTAGAAATTAATTGAAAAAAATAAGATATGTGTTTCAAGTACATCCAGTATTTTCTGTCATTGTAAGCACAACAAAAGATCTACATCTGTTAGAAGTAGATTATATCCAGGGGGAGAAGTTACTCGCTCACCTTTGCTAAAGAGATGCCGATGGTTCCTGTACCGCAGCAGATGTCGAGCACGGTGCTCTCTGGGCTCAGCTGCGCCCACTCCCCGATGGCCGTGTACAAAACCTCTGCAGCTTGGGTGTTCACCTGGGAAATCATGGGTCAAACAGGTCAACTTCTTCACAAACAGCAAATGTGTTTTAATGAGTCTTAGGAAAGCATGTTTTCTTTTTCTTGTTTCTAAGAAATAAGTCAACTTCGCATATAACTGACCTAGACTTGCACGTATTTAGAGCTCGTCATTCCTTGCTGAAGTCTCTATCAGTTCTCTCTGAGAATCAATGTTTTGTTATCCATGTTCTAGTAAAATGTACTTCCTTCCTATTTCAATGACACAGGCTGCGTGCTGTGGCTTTAAAGTGTTGGGAAAGAAGAAATAAATTTTGGAAAAACAAACAAAAATTATTTACAAAGATTCCTGAACTACATAGTGCGTGTTCTGGATACATAAAGGCTGCCCTTCCACAGGAGGCAAGTGATACTGAACTAGTAAAAAGAAAATGAAAATTGTCTTCAATGTGTCCCATTCATTCACTGTTTTTACAGCCAAACATAATACTCAAAGGTATTTAATCACACCAAGTATGTAACAGATTAAATCGCGAGGTATATAGCATCTAATTACACAGCTTTAGCCAAGCTTAAGGGCATTAATGTAAATACAGTAAAATTAGCAACTTTGTATCATCCTTACTTGAAAAAATGCATGAGGAGAAATTCTAAATTTTAGGCCAAGAAGTTCTTCGTATATGTACTTATCGCCAGCCACGTGCTCCAAAGGCAAGTCTTCCAGATTGGGAGATTTCCTGGGGAGGAAAAGGGACAAGGCACGGGAAGGCAAAATAAAGAGGAAAAAAAAGAAAGATGACTAACAAGTTTGTTACAGTTTTTACCCAAAATGTAGTTATCTTGAAAGTTGTTGTACTACAGACTGAGGAGTAATTTATAGTGGGCCAACAGTTATCGGATCCTTTTAGAGACTATCATCTTGGCCATGGTTTTCTTACAGGGTACAACTGTTCCACTGATGGAACCAGTAGGACCAATATTGTCCCTAGATGAAGACGGTGTGAGCTTTGTGCTCTGTGGAAGAGGATGGGGAGATCAAAAAAAGGAGGCAGAAGTTACTTGTTGATAGTAATAAATATCCATCTACTGCTGTAAGCGCTTCTACAGCTTGACAGCCAGCAACTAGTAGTGCGGTCACCCACTGAAACTCCTGTCTTTGCCCAGTGAATCCTACAGGATGATGGCAAATTTCTCTTTAAGATTGCAGAAAAGGTAAATAACTGTTCAACTAATTAGGAACCCTGCTGCTGTTTTTATGAAATAGATAAAATTATGGTGTGGTAGCGCTACCTACTTTTCTGCTGTAAACACCAAAAATCCAGCCACCTGCAAAGTCCCCCAAAGCAAAGTCAACTCCCTCACCTCTGTCCTTCCTCCACAAAGTAGAGGGAAGTAACGCCACTGCTCTTGCCCATCCCTTCTGTGAAGTATTTTGCCAGAGAGACTTTCAGGTCAGCCAGATCTTCTTTACTTAATTTCTAAAGGTTTT